CGGGGGGCGGCTGCGAGGCGCGCTCCGGAGCGGTGCTCTGTGGTGCCCTGTCAGCGCGGTGAGCGCCTTGTTGTGGGGCATGGAGGCTCTGGGGGGAGTGGTTTGGTTTGTCCCGTGTTCGGGTCGGGTTTAATGCGGTGGCTTCTGTGATTAAGAAAGACAGGGGCCTGCTGGAGCGGGGCCAGAGGAGCCCCAGCAATGCCCCGAGGGGGGAACCCCTCTGCTGGGAGCCCAGCAGGAGAGAGTTGGGCTGGGGCAGCTGAGAGGAGAAGGCTCCAGCTGGGGAGACCCCCTGGGGGCTGCCAGGACTGTCAGAAAGATGGTGGGGGACTTCTGGTCAGGGCCTGTTGGGACAGGACAAGGGGAGGTGGTTCTAAACTAAAAGGGGGAGATTTAGACTAGAGTGAAGGAAGAAATGTTTGACACTGAGGGTGGTGACCCCTGTCCCAGGCTGCCCAGAGAGGTGGTCGCTGCCCCATCCCTGGAACCATCCCAGGGGAGGTTGGACACAACTCTGAGCACCCTGCTCTAGCTGGGGATGTCCCTGCTCCCTGCAGGGGTTGGACTCGATGGCCCTTAAGGTCCCTTCCAGCCCAAACTGATTCTGGATTTCCTGCTGCAGTGGAAGCTGTGGGTTAACCGTGTTGTCCCACGGCCACTCCTCCTTGCACAGCTCCCCCTGAGTGCCCCAATGGCGTGTTGCTGTTCCACCAGAGGTCCTGAATCTCTGCTGGGAGGGGCTACTGCTCAGCAGGAGCTTGACTGGAGTGTTAGCACATCTCTTGATCTGATCAGAGCCCCGGAAGCTCAATAGATGCAATGAAACTGGTTACAGGACAGAGTAAAGAAATGAGAGACCTTCATGCAGTGTAACGTTCTGAGAGGCTGGACAGTGGGGTGGGCTCATGGCTGTTGAAGAGCCAACCTGCTCCTTAACAGGACATCATTGCAGGACTTGTACCTCCTGAGTGATCATAAGTATTAGGTGATATCCTGCCAAGATGTGTCTTAAAGGATCTCATCTCAGCTGTACCTGGTGGATGAGTTGCAAAGATACTTCATATTTTCAGTATTTCGGGGCCAATATGTTGGTGAATAACCCATCTTCTTTCCTAGCTTTTGTAATTAATTGGTGGCTGAGGTTAGAGCTAGTTTGCAGGTTGTTACAGCCCAGGGACTTGTCTCGTGGTGTTCAGTAGCTCCCAGAGCCTTTGACATTTTTGCAGTCCTAGGGAAAAGCCATTCTCACAGGCTGTGAGGGATCCTGGGCACTGGCAGCTCCAGGGGTTTCTTATCTCAGAGTGTATTGCTGTGGTGGCCTTGGGGCTGACGCCGAGGCAGATGTGCTGTGTGGGAACTGGTGCTGCAGAGCAGAGCCGGGGTGTGGGGCTGGGGGCCCTGAAAGGACCATTCTAAGTGTGGCTTCTTACCACGCCAGTCCTTAGTGCCCGTGCCAGTGGCTGCTCTGGGCTGCCAGGGGGGTGGAGTTGGTGCTTTCACAGACCTGTGCAGCCAGGACCTGGGGTGACCATCCCCTGGGGAGGGGCCTTCTCCAGCAACTGCGGGTGACCCCGTCGAGGTGCCCGTGTCCCAGCTCCTGTCACTGGTGACTGCACTCCTTGGGGCTTTCCTCACCTGGGACTGTAAGCCCAGAGCGTGCTCGGGCGGGAGGTGTGACGTGACCAGTGGTGCTGGCACGGTCAGCACTGGGCAGGATGAGGTCCAGGGGGCTCTGTGCCTGACGTCCCCCACGCCAGCGGCGTGCGGGGTCTCGTGGGGCC